TTTAAGTTCTACAGCGCTTTGTAGAGCCTTTTGTGTGGGTCTCGTCTGCCTTTTGCTCCTGGCTCCGCTCTCCTTGGCTCCTTCTACGTTCAGCCACTCTTTTCCTGGGCTCGTCATTCTCGATGGCTCCGGGTTAAAGTATGATACCGCTTACCTCCATTCGTTGATTTTATCCACAGACTTTTCACTGTCGCGTACCCAGTGCAGCGGACACGGAGTGTTGTGCACTGGAGATCGGGAAGTGTCAACCACAGTATAGAATTTAACAGCACAAGTTTACTCAACAGCATTTAATATGATCACCAGCTCGTCTGAATTATTGTACACATGCGGTGAAAACTAAAAGGGGAAATTACAATGTACAAGATCAAAAAAGGGGCTAAGACTAATAACAAAAGAAGCAAAATTGAAAGGAAAAAGAAAACTAAATACAATAAGCTGAAATTACGTCTGATCCTTTCTAAAGGGCTACAGAAACTCCAACGTTACGTAACTCCGAAAAAGATAAAACTGCTCTGAAAACTCCAATGTTGCTCCGTAGATTTCCTAACTCCAACTCCACAAAAACTTAAGGGGCGTTCTCTGATAAAGGTACGATTCACGTGTACAGTTGTAAAACCGGTTAGAAAACAGGAATGGCTAGCTACGTAATCGATTCAAACTGTGAACAATAGTACATGAAAATAGGGGCGTAAAAACTCGATAAATGAAACAGAACAGAAACGTATCATATCTAAATCAAAACAAAACTAAGCTTAATTACGTAATCAAGTTCTCTTTGATTGAATGTTCATTGTTCATCACAATAACTCCAATATTTCGTGCACTGGGAGAGCAGGATACAGTCTCATTACAATATCAACAGAAGATAGTGGTGGCCGAGGTCGATAGGAAGAGGATATTACGAGAACCTCAGACTTGTCTTCATTTAATTTCAGCTTGTTGGAAAGCATCCACGCGTCCATGTCCCGAACACAGTTTACCAATTTGGCGTCACTCAGATTCATATCAGAAACAGACGACGTCCTGAACGTAATATATAGCTGGGTGTCATCAGCATAAAAGTGATAGAACATTTGATGACGTCGAGCGGTCTCACCAAGAGGGGATGTGTACATTGAATATAACAACGGTCCAAGAACGTATCCCTGCGGTACACCAAACTCAAGAACATGAGAAGCGGAGCACGCACCATTAACCTGCACAAACTGTGCACGATCAGAAAGATATGATCGAAACCATTCCAATACAGTTCCAGTAATTCCAAAGCGATTGGACAGTCGCGAGAGGAGGATACCATGATCAACAGTATCAAATGCAGCCGAAAGATCGAGAAGTACTACGATATGTCATTGTGGACTCTAATAAGAGCCGTCTCTGTACTATGGTTTCTCTTATTGGCTGATTGATATGTTTCACCAAGGTCATTAATATCTAAGTATTGAATCAGCTGTTTAGCAACACATTTTTCAATAGTTTTAGATATGAAACGAAGATTAGAAATAGGCCTATAGTTCTTGAAGTCGTTCGAATCCAGAGAGGGCTTTTTGAGCAATGGCTTAAGTATAGCTTGTTTAAGTATTTCAGGCATCCGACCAGTTTCCAAGGAAAGGTTTACAATGTTATGTACTACTGGGAGAATAGAAGGAAACAGACATTTAAGTACATGACCAGGAACAGGATCTAAGTCACAGGACTTAAGGGTAGTTGAGCAGATGATACTCAAGAGTTCATCCGGTGGAACAGTCGAAAACATGTTCAGTTGACAGCCTGCAGTACCGTTATCTACAGCAGCAGATAAAAAAAATGATAAAATATGATACCATGTCTACAAGCTGTAAAAATACCTTGGAGAAACTAAGCAATGACACTGTTAGCGAACACAGAACATACCGCCTAATGATAAAACTTGTGTCACCAATTCACCTGTACGTAAACCGACTAGAGTGACCAATAAATAAGGAAGTGGCACTGTAAATGTCTAAATAAAACAAATCGGCGGGCGATCATGTACCTTCCAAGCTCCATCTAAGCGTCGGTTTCGGATGACTTGACGTTCAGTTTCATTCGCAACACCCTTGCCAGACAGCCAAATACAAAGAAATCAACCCAAGCGGGAATTTCTTCTTCCGGGTCACTGAAATGGTAAAACCGAAGGGTGACCGATGTTCCGATCAGGCAGACGGCTACTTCAAACAAAATGGCGATGAAGAATTTGCTTATCAAAGGTGTGACCTCTGATGTTTGAGGCGATTTTCAATATGTAATTTTTAATTACACGTACTGATCAATATTGTGACCCTGTCCTCTTCGCTCCCACTGAGTTCAGCACCGTTACTCCTTCAGGGCAAAATTCCGGGGTACCAAAACAGCCCATTTTAAGACTTCCTGTTCCTAAGCTGGCGTCGAAATAAGAATCTCTCTCCTAACTTCATTTTATTCAGCACTTGGAAGCTCTAAGCGAAGGTCAAACCCGTCTTATCCAGTAAGATATACCCTGTAATTTATTTCAAAATGTTTATTTCTCTAACCGCTTCTATCATAGGAAATTTCGGTAAATTATCCTATACAAGTGTTAAACTAATTTACAATTTTATAAATATTGACATTTACGATATACAGTAGCACTGTCAGCTAGTTACACACTTTTTGACTTTTTTAAAATTGGAAGTTATTATTTCTTGATACAACTACGTCATGCCAGTATTATTTACTGAGTCGGCGTTTTAAGCTTACATAAGCTTTGAAATTAAGAGTTATAAGATTAAAAATCTGATACTTAAGAAGATAGCGAGACTCTTTTTTAACTTGCTGTGATCCAAAACTTATCTTCTTATCAAATCCAAGACCAAGACGTGACGTTCACTGAGAAGACTTCGATTTCGGTTTTAACTCTATCGTTGTGAACATGTACATGATTTTTATAATCCGGCAATTTATTGTTACAATTGTGTGGTATATAAGAATTGCTCAATTGCATCGTCACGGCGAAGGCTCAAACGATATGTTTATTTAGAGTTCTCGTAAGAACTTTTGCGTACGTCCTTGTATGAATTTCACGCATTTTTTTAATTACATGAAAAAAGAAGAAAACGAAAGAAAAACTACAAGATGGTAGCTTTGATGCACGGTCATGAAATAACGGACATGCCTAGTGTTAATCTAAATTTTCTTGAACGATTTTTTTTAACAATCCTTACAGCCGTTAGTAATTGCCTTGCAACATTCTAATCGCTCAACAGGGACTTAAAAGATAATGTTCAAAGCCTGTTTAAGTAAATTTCAACTACCTATAGTTTTCAAGCAGTTGGAAACAATTGTGTTGCAAGATGTTATTTAATAATTCCCCCAGCATGAGCTCAGAAGACGGCGTTCGCATAACGTAGATTCACGTGGCCCTCACAGGTTAAAAGATAGAGTTGACCCGGATAAATCAAACCATGTCTTTAAGGTTTCTTCGCTAGATAAAGACTCTATTGTAGGATAATGGTTGTTGGGCATCCATCTCTAAAATAAGGCCAGGTAGACAATTTTAGAACTAGAAAAACACGAAATGAGTCAAGAAATAAACCAAAATTAACAATAATCGATGTTGTAATGAGGAGGGACACTATGTCCTAAAGGACATCTCCAATACTGCGTTCCTTTGACCGTATTCCGAGCAAACGTTTTGCCAAAAGTCTATTCTGACGGGAAATTTGGACCACTTGAACGTTCCATGCATCTTGAGATGTTATTTCAAGTAGACGTTTAGATGTTGTAATGCAGTGAATGCCAAAATAAGTGATTTCTAGACTTAATTCCATAATTTCTTATTCCTTAATAGGTACAATTAATGGCTTTCTCTTCTCCACTTCCACTACAAAATGTTGCTAAGTTGACGGTATCAACATGGGAGTTGTGGGGGTAGGTACTGTTTTGTCTGTTCTCTGAAGTAATTTCCTCAAATGGGATAAACAATTAAATCAAAGGTAGGAGCGGAAAGAAAGTAACGATGACCCAAAGAATGCATTTTTGCTGTTCGCTTTGCACATCAGAAAATCCACTCTATTATTTGTTCCACTTGTTCCTAATAAGAGCAAATGAAAATAACAGCTGTCCAAATCGACCATCTAATATACTTATTTTAAGATTTACTGTAGCTCTGCCACTGATTTTCCCATGTGTAATTATGATAATATTTTGTTCTAATTATCTAACTGAGGGAGCCCATTCCTTATAAGCCCGGTGGCTTCTCTTGGGCTTCCTCNTTACTGTAGCTCTGCCACTGATTTTCCCATGTGTAATTATGATAATATTTTGTTCTAATTATCTAACTGAGGGAGCCCATTCCTTATAAGCCCGGTGGCTTCTCTTGGGCTTCCTCGCCATGAGAGTTTAAATAATTAGATTTTATTTGATTTGTACAATTTTTGGCAAACAAAACAATAAACAATAAACAATTACTATTTGAACAATGAAGCAAAATGTCATGGACTAACTCCTTTAGAAAAAATCCACTTTTCCGACTATGTAATAAATATTTGTTTTCAAAAAAGTTATGGTATTAAATAAGGTGAGATAAGAATTCTTGGCCTTTTTTGTTTAAGGCCGAATTCGGGCACGACAGAAAAGAAATTGAATGGAAAAAAGGGAAATTAATGTTGACGAAAAAGCCTGAAATATAATCATCATTGCAACTTTTTTTTTTACTAATATTTGAATTTTCAAAAGAGTGACTCAAATATATTTTAAGTGCATGTGAGTACTCCAAAAAACCTTACTTTCGCCAAAGCTGTCTTGTATGCACCTAGCATTCATTCAGTTCAATAATACACCTTTATTTATTACTTCAGTCCTTGAGGAAGTGTGCAAATAACACCCCTCTGTAATACCAACACCATAACACATGAATAAAAGTGAATAAAAGTGATCACTCGACAGCTGGCTTGTGTTGACAGTTTAACACATATAGTCTTCTGCTGGTTTAGGCTAGATTATGTCCGCGATAATGAGTCATTTCCGTCAAGTTGCTTGGCTTAGTGTTGTGTTCGAAAGGCTCTATGGGACTGTCTTTGGGGATGAAATTTTCCCCAGTTTCCTGCGCGACATTGCAACAGCCAATGAAAAACCAGGGCAGTACCATGGTACAATTCGACACAACATCGTCCCAGTCTTACGCTCAACCTCAAAAATGAACGATAACAATTGCCTGGTTACTGAGCGCCCGCAGACCTAAACCGGGCGCAGCTGTATTGTTCTTTGAAGACGTTTTAGTTTATTGATTGTGACATAGGAAAACGACAGGTAAAAATGAGTTAGTTGAAAACAATGATGGAGGGAAAAAAGATCGGTTCAGCTGGATAAAGATTATTGGTGAGTCATGCTTTTTAAGTGGTTGTCTCCTGACAAATTTGAACAATACTTTTATGAGGGGTATTAGCCGGTATTGGTAGAAAATTACAGCTATTTAAGCTTTTGATAAACCCATTTTGCAAGCAGTCAGTACTAATTAAAAAAGTCTGTGATTTTGTCATACAAAAAAATCTAAGCTAGGGAGAAAGGTAACACCTTTAAAAATGGTCAAAAAGAGCGCAAATCTATCCGTGTATAAACTAGCAGTAATTTTCGCTACATAAATGCGAAATACGCAATGACGTCACCGCTTTACAGTCAGTGCACTGCATAGAGAAAATCCCAAAACCTTGATGAGTTTTACGGTAATTGAAGATCAACAATGGATGCAGCCCACGGCTAGGAACCAGCTGCAGCAGGAAAAGTCTCGATCATTTTCATTATTTCTATAATATTGTTTTGGCGCTTTAAGAGGAGACGGGCTGAAAACCAGTCGTACTAGATTTCGTATTAATCGCGAAATATTACCGAAGCATAAAATTCTGAGTTAATATTTACATTTGTCGAATGTCTAGCTAGCCCTTTTCTGTGTCTATAACGAAGTTTCTTTTTATCCTAAGAGACTCTAAAACTGAAAGGCGGATGGTAAAGATACCATATTACGAAAGTTTAAAAAGACCTTTTTATGAGGAAACCTCGAATTTTTGCCACATTAGACTCATATTCCACTCGTCGATGTCTTCTACCCTTTTTCAATGATGTAATTTTTGAATAACACTATCCAAAATCTGTGGTTAACATTTTCAGAACATGTTTTAGTTCCCTGGTTCGAAAATACATTAATTATTTACGCTGTCGAAGAAAATTCACAAGCAATTGAGCTTTGACGAGTTTCACTCGGAGGTTTTAGCTCCACTTCATTTGCTGAAACATAATAAACCTTGAAGATTAGAGGAAGAAAGAACGAGTTTACACGAAAGATTTTAAAGCCTGTCGATAGACTCACAATTTGTGGTCTTATCCAGTCTTAAAACACTCACCTGCGCTTAATGTTTTTTAAAACTTCACACACAGTCTTCCTCTTTTTTTATTAGAGCAAGTAAAAATTAACTTTGAGGAAATATGTACGCCTTTTATTTATTGGCCATGATAATCTCACGTTCTCCCAGTCGGTTATCTTAAATTGACTGAAACTATTAATAAAATATTTCGCCCATCTTGCTTATGAAGACGAAATGGAAACATTTCGCTTTGCTAGCAGGACGTCTGAGAAATGATTATATTTGGTACTTTAGCATGAATGATCGAAATACAGAACAGTTTTTTTGTGTGTTTCAAATAGACTAATATCCTTCTGAAGGTAATGTGCTAAGTAATGTTTTGGGATTTCGTATAAACCATTAACGTTTGTATTTCTAAGAACGAGGTGGTATAACGTCTTTTCCAGAGTACCTGAAATTGCTTGTCATGAATGTTCGATTAATTAAAGGAAATTATGCTTTAATTTGCCTCAATTTCTTTGTTTATAAAAGCCAGGTTTCTTACGATGGAACCGTTTCTGTTCAAAGCCATATTTTGAAATAATAACGTAAAGATGCCCAGCCCACTTACTTAAGATTTTAATTGCATTAGTTTCAGAAACGTTCACGTGCAACCTGGCCCGAATATGCATTGGTTTCAGTAGCATATAGAAGAAGGGAAGGGGGAGAGGAAATGAGCCCCACTCTAGGACTTTAGAGAAACGTAACGGCCGGGGGGACCCTAGCCGCTTACAAAGGAATTAACCGCTGCATTGTTTTCTTTTCTTCTTATTTTTCAAAACCACGGAATCTTTGAAATCTCAAATACAAGAAGGTAGAAAGAAAAGTCTCAAAATCAGTAGGCATTATTTACCTCCTTATGTACTCACTATAATTATAGTTCAGTTTGTCCTTATTTACATTAGTGTGAGAGTGTTTGGGGCTCAACTTATCGGTCAAATCTAAACGTTTGATTACCCTTCAAAAACGGGTTATTAGAATAATTTCCAGGAGTTCTTTTGATGCACATACCAATCCTACTTTTGTGAGCTTAAGAATTCTAAAATTTGAAAGTATTACCAAACTTCACAAAGGTAAAGTTATGTATCTTTACAAAAACGGCCTTCTTCCTGATAGTTTCAATGACATGTTTCTATTTAACTGTGACGTACTGTAAATTTTCACTTCGTTTTCAAGGGCCCAAAATATCTAATTTCCTTGGCTCTGGAATTCAGAATTCCTCTAGTATTGAACTTAAGTCATTTTTCTTAGTATAAGCATAGTTTACCTTTCTTAATGCTTGCGTGTACTTTTTCGCTTTTTTCTCGTATTCTTGCATTATTTTTTTTTCACTTTTTTTTTTTCTTTTTGCCTTGGCACGTTCAGTCTTTTCTATTCTTTTCCTATTTAATGATTATTTTATATAAGCATTGTTTTCCTTTTTTTATTCTTGTGTTTTTTTTTTTGTTTTTTTTTTTTTTTCTTGCTTTATTTTTTTTTTTCTTTTTTTTTTTCTTTTTGCCTTGGCACGTTCAGTCTTGTCTATTCTTATCCTATTTAATGATTATTTTCTATGTTGTAAAGAAATTATATGTGTTTAGTTAAATTGTCTTGCTTATGCAAATATTTTATTTAAGTAATTAAGTCATATATTTTAAAGGTGATCCCTTTCATAAGCCTTATTGGCTTCCATGGGCTCGCTTGCCTCATCTTTCTAAATTCTGTGTATACATTTAAAGTAAATTTCAAAATGATAATGAAACAATAAAGCAAAACATAAACCACTTCATAAGCAATGTAAGACAACAAGAGCTGATTCGAATATTCATATGATAAATTTTATATTTCATGCTTGAAGTATGGGGTTGGAACTAAAAGTCTTACTTATTATAAAGAAAAAATCAGGCTTCCACACAATCTAAGGACTAAGGTTGATTCCACAGCACTGACGATTGTCATAAACCACTTCATAAGTAATGCAAGACAACGAAGTTGATTGGAATACTCAAGTGATAAATATTGTATTTCATACTTGAAGAATGAGGTTCGATCTAAAAGTCTTACTTGTTATAAAGAAGAATATCAGGCTTCCACACAATCTTAGGACTGACGTTGATGAGAGTGATTCCCTCGAACTCATCAGGGTCCCACGATAGTCGGTTGTTGGTCCAAAACTATTGAACGACAAAAGGAGTACGTTTTAGAATACAATCATGCTATTCAACCTGATTTTTAAAAACTGCTGGGAAGGTAACATTCAGAGAAACCAAAACTGTAAAAATTCCAAACCTTATACATTCTAAGTCACTATATCACACTGAAACATGAAATCAAGGACTTAGTCCCCTTGCTTCTCTCTGGATCAGATTTAGACAGAATTAATGTAAAAATACCTGCCGAACCCAAATATTACAGGTCATTATTTGGTCTTTGCTATCCTGCAACGAAAGAAAAAACTATTAATTAGAAAAAAAGGAATACAGTTAAACGTTTGGCATTAAGTATTTGATAGTCGCTTGTTTGAAGTTCCTAACTTTAGAATGTGAAACACAAGCGCCCAGAAACATAAGATATGGGACAGTCAAGGCTGATAAATAATCATAACTGCATGCTTTTTTAACTGCACCAGAATTTCAATGAGCATTAAGGGCCTGTTTACGTGGAGGTGGGGGACCCCAGGTAGGTGAGGTAACCCGCTTAGGTGGGGTAACCAGCCAGTCCACATAATCTCTCATTTTAATTTGATCACGATAACATGTTAGGTGGGGTGACCCGTCACATGTTACCTCACCTATCTGGGGTCCCCCACCTGCATGTAAACAGGCCCTAAGAGAGAATTACATTTGTATGATCCTCTAACAATTAATAATTTGGAGATCCAGTTTAGGTCCCGTTTATTTGAGATAAGCTATACCAATTAGCCAGGCGGTTCGGCTCATGCCGTATTTCCTCATAACATCGCCTTGTTTATATGAGAAGGTAGGATGGCCCGCTTGCAGTTTTGCAGTTTGAGCATCTGAGATCTCGGCAGCGGGCCAGCCCACCCTCTTGCATAAACAGACTTAAAATTGTATGAGGAAAGAAGGTATGAGCTGAGACAACATGATAAAGCGGGCCAGCACGGCTAGCCGAGCGCTCATATTAGACTTTCCGAAAAGTTTCCAAACCTAGGGATTAAAGTTGAAATGAACTAGGCTAAAGAATCATATTAATTGATCCACAGTCGCTTGAATATCGGTACACTCGTGTAATTCCGAAGAATTCAGTAATCTTAATCAAATCTGTAGGGGTTATTACGTAAAACCCGTCACCACGTCACTAAGTCTTTTATCTTGCGCAAACCCAGGGTTTGTTGACAACACATATCCTCTGTTTGTATTTAACCCAGGGCTACTCGAACGACTCGGTCCAGAACGTAAATAAAAGTTTTACGGAAACAACAACACTGGAAATTAATGCAGGAATTCCAATCACGTTGATTGCTCAACTTGTGTACTATATAAATCATAAAAAATCGCGTGACCAGCCAAATGCACATTCCAGATCGTGATCGTGTGGCTTATTATTCCTTAACGTTCTAAAACATCACGCGATTTTCCATGCGTGAGGTCAAGATACCTGGATACTGGCCAAGTTCGTTTTTCGCGTTTTGATGGACGGAGAAGATTCAGTTGATAAGAACCTTATCTCTGCCACACAGTAGGACGGTGGTGTACACAAACAAGGTTACGAAAAATAAATCTCTAGACAATACAAAGGCCTGCATATTTCCTGACTTATCTAGGGTCAGCTAAGTAAATCGTAAAAAGAAAGAAAAAAACTGCAGGAGGAATCTTTGGACGGGCTACATTGAGATCACTCAAATGAGACTCCTTCAGGAAAACTGTTGCTACTTGTTCTTCATTATAATCTTCCAATTGAAACTTGGAATCTTTCTAAATAGTTTTACCTTAGGGTACTTATACATTAAAGTGAAAGAGTTAACAGGGCACAAACTAAAGGACTTACAATTCACTATACTGAAAGTTAGAGCCGCGCATTCGGCTTCACTGACTTACATCTTAGTAGGACGTCCTTGAATAAATAAGGATCACCCTGGACAACTGAGTGGAATTTCTGTTTATATATACACTGAGCGGTAATCGAATTAGAAAAATTACACCGGAAACTTGTGTTTGCGCTGCTTCCTTACAACAATATTGAATTAAATCGTGTACATCGCCAGTAAATCAGACATTATGTACTATCGTAACCGTCTGCAAACAAGACAACGTTCCCATATTTTGAAGACATCTTCGTAACTTGTGTTACTGTTATTCAGACGGTTAAGGTATGCTTTTAAAATTCTTCTTTGTTGATCCGATTTTACGTGGGCTACATGTATACCGAGAGTACCTTTCTTTAGCATGTTGTGGCCATGGAGTAGTATTATATCACTTAATCGAAAATAATATAGTTAACATACCCAAAATTGCCCAAAATTTTCCCCAATATACTCTTAACTAAGAAAGGCTCATACCGTATAGTTACACCGCACTTCTGTTTTCACATGTGTTTTCAGGTTTGTTTTAAGACACCACATACCCTATTTAAAGACCCCAGTATATCCTACACTCAACCACTATGGCCAACACCGACAATGACTTTAATTAGCTTTATCGAGGCCACATTTTAAAAACCTTGTGCCTTAGGAAAGTCTCTCGAGTTTATTACTGACTGCACTAAACAGAAAAATAGGGCCTCCTATAACTGAATGATATCTCAAAATCCAAATTGACGTTGCCAAACCGTCACCCACTGGGCTGTACATCGTTTAAAAAATATTGGCGTGGTTTGGGGTGTAGTGAGAACTGGGCCTTAGCGAGAAGAAAGTGGCCTTGCGTGTACTTTACCAGTGCAACATTAATGTGATTAAGATCATAATATTCCGATAAAATACACTTAAACAGCTTAAAACAGCGTTAAAAAACCCAAGCTTATTTTTCATCACTTTTAAGACTGAAAACTGAATTTACTTATATATCAGTCGCTGAGTCATTCTTGATTACATCCTCCACAAAGGGAACCTACTGTGAAAGCTCTATGACTATGCGGTGTACCTCTCTACATCCGTAGGTCAAGATAACAAAAAAGATTTAGACATAATGTCTGGAGAAATGATAACAACACTATAGTTGCGGCTTGTTCACCAAACCTAATCGACATCGCGTTTAAAGGATTCTTGTATTACATTGTCCGATGCTCGGATAACTCTAAACACCTTTGGCCTTGGGGAATGCCAACTGTTTTGTGAGTTATCAAGAGATAAAAGAAGTATTCAAGCTGGTTTTAAGACAGTCTCTTTTTGTGATGCCAGGCCTCGTAAACTTGGAGTGAGGATAACTCAGGAAAGTCGTTAAACTGAACAAACATTATACGACACTACCTTATTTTAGGCCTGATTTGTATGCCTTTGCTGTGCGTTCTGCAAACGCCAACCCAAACACTATATGATACATAAAATATCGGAGATCAAAAAGAACTAAAGTGAATGAAACGATATTTCAGTGAAGTGGGCACACTCAAAGTTTACCAAGTTACCAGCCCACTGAAAGCTGAAAACTACTGATTACTCTCTGGCTCAGAGGTATGACGAGTAAAACAACAAAGAAAAATAATCATTCTAAATGTATCGTTGAGTTAAAAGTCGTTGCGAAGGGTGCGGCTTTCTAACCTTGGAGCTGTTTGACTCTACTGAACAACAGAAACATATGGTTCATTGGATTAGTGTGATTTCATTTGATCTCATTTATTAGGACATGACCTGTGCGGGAGGGCGGGGAGCTAACAAAAGTATATTTTTTGCTCACTACAGAAGAAAGGCCAGCTGACTCTGGGAAATATTTTGCCCGACATATCGTCTGAGTGCACGCGACAAGGTAATGTGGGATATGATCAATACACTGTTCCTGACGACTGTAGCTCTCGAACCTACTTTTGTTGCTCTGCTTTAGTACTCGCAAACATACGTCCATGGCCTCTCGTGCCATTCTTTCAAATTTCTTTGATGAACAGTGAACTCAAAACCACCCACTATACCTTTCGGGATTGTCGCGTGCACTTTCGACAACCTTCTTCGAAATCGAATGCATAAGCAGCCGACTCTATTCACAGTATTCACAACTCATTAGCTATCAGCATCTAAATCTTAATTATCTATAAACTAGTTACACAAAAAGGGCGTAAAATTGGTTCCTCAGCTTTAAGAATATGACTCTTGGGAATTTAAGTCTGTTTCAGAGCAAAATCCTTGACGATTGATCAATCGAAAATTAAGTGCAGCTTGCTTATTACAGTAACAGCGTTGTCCTTTCCAGAGTTTATTTAATCTAATTGTTTTTAATTTACCCTACGCAAAAATGTTAATCCATTTTTACCAAAGTTCTATTTTACAAGATTGATTTTTAACGAAATTATACCGACACGAGCCCTTTAAGAGTTTTGTATGCTTATTACAGTAACAGCGTTGCCCTTTCCAGAGCTTATTTAATCTAATTGTTTTTAATTTACCCTACGCAAAAATGTTAATCCATTTTTACCAAAGTTCTATTTTACAAGATTGATTTTTAATGAAATTATACCGACACGAGCCCTTTAAGAGTTTTGTATCAAAACGCACTGGAAACCTGTGTGTTTATGGATGTTTACACGAGAACGATATCTATCCGTTCACAAACTTATCCCCAAAACGAGAGAGAGAAATAAAGGCCTAACCGACGCAGAAACAACAAGAAAACATTGTTTTTGTCCTCAAACAGCCCTAAAACTGCGGAGGGGGGCAGGATCAGCTGTCGATTAACCACGACCTATGCTAAGCGGGCTAACTCCATAAAAACTAAATTAATCGTACCGAGATTAAGTTTACAACCCAACTCTACTTACCAAAACAAACAAGCTGACTGAATGCCATGTCAAAGGTTACGACCACAGCTTTTGAGCGGTTATTTGTTGGGAGTATTTGCCTTTTCTTGAGGTAGTTTTTCATAAGATGATTAATGAGCCTTGATTCTGCATCGTTGCGATTTTCCTGAGCTGGAATAGCGAAAAATAAAAACAGACAGATGTCATTCTTTGGTAAAACAAGAGACCGTCAACGATTTTCAGTACTGAAGTATTGTAAACCGCTGATCAACTGTAATCAAACATTTCAGCGATGACACCTGTGGAATTAGATGAACTAGATTAAATACATGAAAAGAAGAAAAAAAAAGTTGCCTGCTGATTCAAAGGTGTTCCATGGCTAATTATCGGTAAAGAGCGCAGACTGTTTTTTGAATGCCTTTTAGCAAAAAAATTCATGAGGGTCCTAATTTTTCGATTTCTGCAGGGTCTTTTTCACGAGCTGTAAAAAAAGTTCTGAATTAGCCGAAATACCGGTGTGATAAGACCGGAAAATGCCAGTGATATTGCCGGAGCCATCAGCCAAATCAGGGCAAAATGTAATTGTGATAGAGTGACCTCGATTAACGTGTTGTTTTTTGGAGCTTTCAAGGTTGTTCTTTTATCTGCAACATACCAAAAATCGCCGATCCGCAAAACGCAGCTCCGTTAATTAAATACTAAAAAAGATAATGTGTAACTCTCAAAATAAAACTTCATTACTGCCTTGCTACTTCAAGAATATCAGTCACAGAAAGATACAAATTTCGTTTTGTAAAATCCTAAGAAGTAAATGATACTCTACAAAAGTTCTCCCAACGAGGTTTCATTTGAATGGTAACACCATAGGATTTCGTCCACAGATTTAAAAGTTAGTGCAAAACTATAATCTTGCCATAACGAAAGGAAGAGGTTAAAGAGACCTAAAATCTGCCATATTCGACTACATGCAATGGCCAAAGAATAAAACCACCTTAAATCTCATAACAACATGATGACAAATTACTCCATTTTCCATACCTACGTATACATCGCTCAGCGTGAGAACGGTTCCGACTAAAAACGCAGTAATTGCTACAAATCCGCTCATTTTCTGACCGCCCGCACACTTAAAAAGCCTGCCTTACGATGACGCTGATAACGTGAAGTAGACTTGTGCTAAAATCGACCAAATCTTGACCCGTGGTTTAAATGGCTAGGGATGTACAAAGTGTAACGCCTAAACCGACTGGCAAACAAGCTTATCAAGGAAAAGAATTTACATCTGCTTTTGCGACTATTGATCCCGTAAACGAATAAGATCCCTTCCCTTGAGTTAATTAAGTCGTTGTCGTACATGTGAAGATCGATGGCCATCCTTGAAATTTTAAACCTTCAACAATCGTACGCCAGTAAACGATGCCGTTTTAACACAGCAAAACTTGCTTGGAAACAATGCCACCTAAAAACACGCACTGTTGATTGCCAAAGTGAGCCACCTCGATTGAATTGAGTAAGTACACCTTAAAATTCATGCTGTCAATTAAACGTTAGATAAAACCTACTGTAGCTTGCAAAAGACAATCTGTTCTTGCATAAAACACCCAGTTATATTAATCCTACGGGAGTGCTCAAGGCTGCTGAAAGAAAAGACGGAAATTTTCCCAGCTTTCGTAAGCCAAAAATATAGAGAAACAAGTAGCACTGTGGTTAAAACAAAAAAACCTTAGAGTTCTCATGACATCTTTTCACTATAAATTCGCTTTCCTAAGTGATTACTTAGTAGTAATTGGCCTAAAGTGAAAGCATCTGTGTCTGCCTGATGGCTGAAAAACCTAAAATGCTGCTATTTTGAGTTGAGAATCACTTTTCAGTTGTCACTTCAAGGCTCAAGAAAAGCTTGTTATAAACTTTCATCATTGAAATTCATTATTCAAACATTCTGTTGACATGGTAGGTGCGTTTAAATCATGAATATCTGAACATCTCCATGTAAGAAAATTTGTACTTGATTTTCATACAACTGGGAAAAGAAAGCTAAGAAAGGAAGCTAAGAGGACAGAAAATGCAAATCCTTCGAAACGAGGGAGATTACTCCTTTTGAACATCAATTAGGTCACTTATTGAATGTATTATTTTTCTGCGATATATCGTGACTTAATAACCTCGGAATGCATTGTCTGATTGCATTATGCAATTTGACCACTGTCGACTCTATCTTCCAACGATTGGATAATTACTTTTTTAAACATAAATGACAATTCATTTAATTAGTGATACAATTAACATCTGGTTTGGTATGGAAATCGTCTTTATAGACCCCGGTTTCTTTAGTTTTTCTCCAAGAAAATCATTTTAAAAGTTTTTCAAGCAGCGTAGATGGCTGATGGACAGCCTTGAAATGACTAAAAAATCTAGAGATAAAAGTAAAAGCGGAGTATTTAGACAATAAATAAAAGGCAGTTTTATTGCTCCATAATGACGATTGACCCTGTAGGAACATATGGTTTCGTTATGTACTATGGTCGTAATTCCTTAGAATTCAAAGAAGTTACTCAAAAGCGGTACCTTTCTGGCGCGATGATTCTCAATATTATGTTAAACTGTTATTTAGAGTCTGTTTCTATCCATATGTGTGAGATCATTTAAAAGTTTTGAGTGCAGTGTCTCTATAATGTGTGAAATGCGAGCAATTGGGCATCAGTGATCATCAGGTTAGAAGCTTACGTTTCTTCTGTTAAGGTGGCTCTCTCTGTAAACACCACAAGATGTTAGAAAAAAATAGAAGTTTGGATCCACTAGAGTTTCAAGTTTACATAATTTTTAAACGTTCATTTTTAGCCAGTTGTTTTTGTTTTCAGTGACAATTTATTGTGAACATTTTGAACTTGAGAATGAAATCATGACGTCACCGAAACGTCGTCGAATGTTATCGTTATTTTTATTTTTTTGTTTTTAATTTTTACTTGCTTATGACTGAATCGCAAATTGAACTCGTTAATATTAATGATGTCGTAAATTTTTCCCTTCACTCCACTTGGCAAGCCAACATAAAACTAAAAAGGCTAAAATTTCTTTTCTAATCTTCTAATAATCAGTACTTTCCCTGCTAAGCGATTAATCAGTGACGTGCTTCGAAGTTTTGTCATGGATTAGCTTTTTGTGGTGCCTTTTACGAGACAGCCAATTTGCGCAAACGCAAAACTTCCGCAAGGTAGACTCCACCAAAAAAACAAAGTTATAGACCCTACTCAATAAATATATGGGCCGTCAGAACGTGTTTTTGTGAAGGCGATCACTATGCCTAGACAGGGAAATTATTATCAATGAATGGCAATTTGCGCCGCGTCTTCCTTCCTTGTCGCCTTATTCCATTAGACACATTTACAGACAATACGTTCTGTAAATCGTGAAAATTTGATTGCTTGCAAATGTGCTATCGAAGCGTCTGCTACACCTGGGCTATACCATTCAAGTCAAGTCAGTCATAGCTGGGATAGTTTACGTAGCTCAGAGACGGTTTTTTGCGTGCTGGTCGAGACAGTAAAATTTCAGTTATGACAATTTCCCAGGACAATTTGCACTGGCTAAGTATTAAAACCTCCCGAGTTATCTCCTTATCAGTACCATTTGTAGATAACGTTCGGTAAATCGAGAAAATTAGATAGTTTCAACAGGGCCGCAGAAAATGTCTGTTTTTATTGATTCCCGCCTAGTCACCTAAGCACAGAAGAAATTCTTCAACTTAGTTTTAGCTAAAGGATGCTTACTATTAAGAGTTGTGATGGCGGGTATTGCATTGCTGTGCGAATTTCAATAGAGGCCGGCGTAGTCATTGTCTATTGGGAAAAAATTCACCGGCTGTCGTTTGACCTGCCTTATGGGAGTCACTTTTAGAAATCGTAGAAGTTAACTGACAATGCACAGACCTAGAAATGCATGTTATAATTTCCACTCCATGTTCACGGCACAGCTTCATAAAGTCAAGTCAGTATTAACCGCGCCTAAAATAAGACACAAACTGTACCATTTACAAGATCCCTCCTAACAAAGTCGCGTTTATGCAAGACGCCAATACACTTTATGCTCGTGCCATTCATACGCAAAGTTCGCGTCTTATTTAAGGCGTTTCCGCCTTTAAGACTGTTCTTATCTTTCCTCGTACAAATGGCCCCGATTATTTCATTTAACACCAGGATCAGAGAACTTTACTTTACTCGTAATTTAACGTTTCGGTGCGGTTGTGAACGTGATATGAAGTGATAGGCTAAAACATAAGCAAATTATGAAATCTCATCTTCATCGTGACGGCCATCCGACTCTGCCCCTCTAGACTCAGGTACTCAGTGCCCGTTTCCAAGCATTACTTTAAATTACTCACATGCTGGGCTCGAAATTAAAAAAATCCTCAGGTCGCCTTTTGGAAGCCAACTGGAGAAATAGATGGTCGCCAGATGCAGATTTTTAGTCACCGGTTTGAATAATTTTAATGACGCATATCATAGTATGGCGCTATCCGTCAGATTTGATTGTTTAAAAATTTCGCAGACAGAAGTCGGTATAAATTTGAAGGTAAACTGGCTTTGTTTATGGGATTTGGCACATTTATTATGATGAAAGCAAAGCAAGATAAGATGAAATGTTTGTTTAAACTTTACCCTTTTAATTTAAATCTAAATCATAAAGAAATCTTGACGCCAATGTGGCGACTAAACCAGAATTTTTTAATAGTCGCTAAGGAGAAAATGTTCGTCGCATTGGCGACCGTATCAGTCGCAATTTCGAGCCCTGATTATGGAAACGAAAGAAGCAGTTCGATTGAATTTTATTTAAGGCGCTTAACCAGGTCTGTAAACAGATATCAACCTCATGATAACGTGCATTCATGGACTTGTAATCCTGTAAGTATATATAAAGCGGATTTTAACCTACTGCCTCGCACTGCACTTAACTGATAACTCACCCACAACTACACTGGTGTGGAGATAAACTGTAAAAACTCTCTCAGGACAACTGCCTGATTGGCTCCTGTCCTGCCCACGTGTAGACACCAGCTTCCTGCGTCTCTTTTTGCAGTAGATTTATGTTACGTTACGTTGGCACGTACACAAGTAACCAAGGTTTCCA